GGATGACACTGTGCAGCCCTAGGGACCCTGCTCCTGCCTTTCCCACAATAGGGCACAGATCCTGCCTGGCACTGGGGCTCTCCAGGCTCTCGAGCCTCCCTCGAGCCCTCTCCAGTCCCTCTCAACATTCTGGAGTTGATGGTCAAGAGCTCTCATGTGCCAAGATTTGGGTCGGAGACAACAGTGACCGTTGTTTTTCCTCATCCAGAGCCAACACCCACACAGGCTGTTTGGCTTTGAATCAGGGCTGGAGGAAGTGTAAGGCTGTTTGCTCCATTATCTCTAGAGAAGGAGCATGAACAGCTGTGCTTCCAGCCCTCCAAACCGCAGAAGTGGGAGCTGAGGTGGGTGTCTGGAACTGAGCTGCCCCAGAAGAAAAGAATAATATATTTTTGTCCTTTTTTTTTAATTAAGAAAAGTATAAAATCCAACCTTAAGGAAAACCCAGGCCCAGGCTGTGGAACTGGAGAGGAACCGGAGTGTCTTTGGATGCTAGGCTGTGAAATTATGGCCTCTGTAGCTCCTCACCAGATGCTCCATCAGTGTGTTCAGGGTTTGCCCAGAGATCCTTGGATGTACTGAGGATACTTTCAGACTCCTCCAGAGTGCACAAGGTGGCCATGCCTGGAGAGGTGGCCACACCTCAGAGGTTGTTCATCCATGGCTCCTGCTGTTCCCACCCTGACAGGCTCCTGCCTTTCCAGGATCACGAGGTCTGGCCTCCGCTTTAATCCTGCCTTTCCCCACGACATCACCAAGCTGAAACTCTCTGGCATCTCCTACTTGGGCAACAAACTGGATTTCACCATCACCACAGCAGAGATCAGCATGGAAGTGACTGAGACCTCCAGGGACCCTCTGGCATCTCCCCTGGAGGCAGTGCTGGAGTCGGGGCACCGCTTTCCCCTGCGGAAGGGTACGGCAGCAGCACCCAGCTCCGCTCCCTGAGACAAAGAATTTGGGGAGAGACCATTCCCATATCTCACACAGGGGTGTTTTTGTTGCAGGGCAGAGTGTCTCCTTCCCCACAGTGCCCGGCTGGATTCAGAAGTCACCCTCCAGGACCCCCTAAGCCTTGGCTGATCCAGGTTTTGCCAGCTGGACCAGCAGACCCAGGATGCTGAGAAAGGGGGAAGGTAACAGTGGGCAGAGCGGGGGGTCCCAGGCTGTGCCATGAACCCTTGGCCCCCCAGGACTGAGTGTACCACCTGTCCTTGTGTTCCTGGGAAGGAGGGATGTCCACAGAGCAGTGACCATGGCAGGGGGTCAACATGTCTGTTCTGGGGCCACTGAGCCCCAGAATCCCCTTCACACACCTCCAGGTTCTCTCACTTGGCACAGGAGATGAAATCAAGCCTGAAAATGACAATTTCAGATGAGTTTTCTAAACACCCAGGAGTTTTTTATGCTCTCCGTATCTGCATTTGTAAGGAAGCCCCTTCCTGAATGGATCTGTGACCCTAAATCCAATATGTACTGGCCTGGTCCTTGCCTTCCCCTCACGTTGCTCTGTGGGCTCAAAGGGTTGTGGAGCCTCAGCCACTGCTGCTTCACCAGATGAGTGGTGTTTTGGCACTGATATTAGTCCAAAATACACAGCCAAAAGCCTTTTAGCCCTGTGTGGGCAGCACAGATCTCTTTTCCTGTTGAGTTATTTGGTGTGTAACATCCCTACTGTGTTTTCAAACCCCTCATCTACATTATTCCCGCTCTTGTCAAGCAGCTTCGGAGTTAAATCTTTTCTAACTTGGCGTCTGAAGAGCTGCAGGAAGCCTGGACATCAGTGATTCATGATGTTATCATGTCAGATGGTGACATGGGGCAGTGTTGTTCCAGGCCTGAGCAGCCTCGGGGAGAGCAAAATGCTGCTGTGGGTTTGCTCAGGGCATTTTTGGTGTCCCAGAAACCCCAAGGAAGGGCTGTGCCTGTACAGGGGAGTCATGGTGCCCCACAGCATCCTCCCTCCTGCCTCCCCGTGGCTGGGGCTCAGTGCAGAACAGCCCTGGGTGGAAGCAGGGAATGCCGAAGGCGTTCCCTGCCCCGCGGGGTCTGTCCTCGCCAAACCAACCCCAGGAATCTTGGCGGCGTTTACACAAAGGCCCGCGGCCGCTCCCTGCCCCGCGGCATCTGGGAATGCTTAGGGGAGGAGCAGGGACGCTCATGCCGTGTAATTACTCGGGCTCTGCTCTGGCCTCATCAGAGCTACCAGCCCCTAATTAGCTGCAGCTCTTGGCAGGACAAAGGGACACACCGTCCCCTCCCTCCGGTTCCAGCCCGGAGAGCTGCACCCGGACTGGGATTTGGATGGGGCTGGGATGAAGCCCCACACTGAGCCAGGTCTAATCATAGCAGTAAAGGGGGTTTAACAGCAAAAAAAGTGATCCTTTAGTCCCCTTTAGCCAAAATGAGCCGTCTCCATCCCAGGGAGGGACAGCAGGGAGCAGTGGGGGTGCGTCCCACACTCACCCACCCCGTCCTGGACAGGGACCTGCTGGGGATGTCTGTGTTGCTGCAATGAGTTTGAGGGTCTCAGCTCCCACTGGGAGGGTGACACACCATTTGCTGCAGCCTGTCCCCAAGGAGCTTCTCTGCTCCCTCTTCTCCTCGGCCCCGGGGGTCCCGGTGGGCAGTGGTCGTGGGGATTGTGGCATCTCCTGGCTGCAAGGAGCCCGGGTGGAGCCAAAATCCTTGTTTATGTTTTTATTCCTTTGGCGTCCCCCTTGCCCTCCCACCCTTCCACAGGCAGAAACTCATATTGTGTGTGAAATGTTTAATGGTTTAAATAGTGATCACGGAATCTGGAGGGAGGCTGAGCTCCACAGGGGATAACGGGAGATAAAAAAAACCCACAGGATAAATGAAAATAACTGCTCTGCCCCCCAAAGCATGGTGGGGAGCGGGGTCAGGCCAGGCAGGGAGGGGTCACAGTGGTGGGAGAGAAGCCCCCGAGGCTGCCCCCTAACCCGGTAGGTGTCAGAGCTGGTGGTCGTGGCCTGGAGTGGCAGAGAGGGGCGGTGGCCTTTTTTGGGGGAGCCACCAGGGACGCGAAGGAGGTTCCACAAGCCCTTTACCCCGCCCCCCTTACTGGTCCTCGTCATCGCTCCCACTGAGCTGGTAAGTGAAGAAGCCGACGGACTCCTGGGCAAGCTTGGAGAGATGGATGACGCCGGTGACGACGAGGGCGACGAGCAGGAGTGGCAGCACCACGCTGCCCGCCGTGGCCAGGGCGTTGTAGCACCGGGCCTTGGAGCTGAAGTGCCGAGCGGCTTCCACGTCCCCAGACACCTTCCGGTCCCGCGCCTGCAATGGGAGGACAGACCTCTCCTGCAGCCCCTTCTCTCAGCCCCCTTCCCCTCAACCCACTTCCAGCAGCCGCCTTCTGCAACCCCTTTCTCTCAGCCCCCTTCCTGTAGCCTCCTCCTGTGCCTCTCCCAGCCTCACTCCAGGGATTTGGCCCCCTTGCAGCCCCCTTGCATCCATCCGTCCGTCCATCCATCTGTCCCAGGCTGCCCCTGCTCCACACACTCCCGTTCCCCTCGGGCCCCACTTCTTTTGCCTTTGGGATTTTCCTTCCTGCTTCTTCCAGAGCCTCACTGGCACCAGCTCCTTCTTGCCCCCATCTTTCTGTTCTAGTCTACTCCAGCTGGAGCTGGGATTTACCCTCCTGCTTCCTCCAGAGCCTCACTGGCTCCAGCCCCCATCTTTCCACCCTGGTTCAGTCCAGCTGGAGCTGCTCCTGCCAAAGGGCTGGGCCGGGAGGCTGGGGGCATCACAGCCCCCACGGCACTTTGTGGGATGAAGCAGCTGGTCTTTGGAGTGTGGGCAGGGGGCTGTGGTTATCCAGGGGGTCCCACAACGTCCATAAATAGGTGGCAGGAACACAGCAGGGAGGATTCACCAGTTGCCAGTGTCACCTGCCTCTGGAGCGTGTTGGGCTCCGTCCCCCCCACGCCACCCCGCCCAGAGTTATCCCAGGTGCTCTGTGCCTCCTCGGCAATCCCTCCCTTGACATCCACGTGGCGAGGGATTCCCAGAGACCCCAAGCGCTCCGGTCCTGCCGAGTGCCAGTACCTTGACGGCGAAGGCGAGCGCCACGAAGCCCAGGCAGCAGAAATTCATGTAGAGGGTGTTGAAGATGGCCCAGACGAGGTGGTCGCGGGGTGTGGGGGCGGCAGGAGGTGGTCCCCGCTTGCGGGGCGGCTCGTCCTCCCGCGGGTACGAGGTGTCCATAGCCACGGAGAGGGGCGCTCGGGGCTCCAGCAGCCTGGCAGGGGAGCACGGCCGGGCACCCCTTATATAGCCCTACTCCGCTAAATATAAACCCGGGAAATTACAGCTCTGCGGGATGTGGTTGTCCAACAGGCCAGGCTGGGAGAAGCGCTGGGATGGTGAGCCTGGGAAGGCTTTTTATAGCCAGTTTTCCCGCCTGTGATGAGGAGCGTGGATGGCTCCAGCGTGGGCACTGTGTGGTGATGGAGCCACGAGGTGACTCTGACACCGTCTGAGGGTCATCCCAAGACAGACCCCCGGTACCAGGACCCCACGGCGCTGACACCGGTACTTCCCACCCCTCCAAACCTCCAGGTGAGCTGGGCAGGGCAGACCCCTCCTTGGCAGCACCTTTGGGCCACCGGGTGGATGAAATGGCAAGTTAATAGGGAAAGGTGGAAGGGCTGCATCCACGGGGCTCCCTGGCGGTGGAGTGGGGGGGGACGGGGCTGCAGGGTGGAAGGGGCGGGGGGCAGCCAAAAACACGGAGGGTTTTTAATTTCCTTTTTTTGCCACACTTGAGATTTTGGAAAGGAACTTCCTTGGGATCTGGGCTGGAAACACTCTGCCCTGCGGCGGGATGGAGGCAGGGCAAGGAGGAGGAGGAAGAGGAGGAGGAGAAGGAGAAGAAGGAGGAGGAGGAAGAGAAGGAGGAAGGTCCCACGAAGACTTGCGAGGACCCTCTACTCTGTCCCGCGGTGAATGAGGCGACAACGAGGGGGTTTGGCAGGACGAGCTTTATTAGTGGCAGCAGGGACTGACAGGTGTGTCACAGGTGCCAGGAAGCGCAAGAGCAGAGAAAAGGGTGCGGGGACACCCGGGGGGCAGCAGCGAGGAGATGGGGGTTCACTCCCGTAACCCCCGCGCCCTGAGCGGGCACATTTGGGGGGCAGGAGGAGGGGGAGAAGTCCCCCGCGGGTAGGGGCCAGGCGGCAGTCAGGGGTTCCTGTATGCGATGCTGATGGTGATGATGGCAATGATGATGAAGATCACCAAGATGAGGGTTACCAGCACGGAACAGATGATGTTTGCCACCCTGGCGTGGGAGCCGTGACGCCGGGCACCCTCCAGGTCCCCCAGCAGCTTGCAGTCACGGGCCTGGGGGGTAAATGGTGGGCTCAGAATGAGGGGAACTGGTTGGGGGCCCTACCCGGCCCGGGGGAGGCTGCGGGGTTGTGCTGGGACCCCAGAGGTGTGTCACCCGGGGCAGGGGGTGAAGCCACAGGGCAATGCCTGTTCCTCCACCTGCCCCGCAGTTACGGCACTGGGGGGTGCAGGCTCGGGGGCTGGCACAGCACTGGGGGTCCCAGGGCAGGGTGGAATTAAGGGGTTGGAGATGGGAGACTAGATCTGGGGTCCAGGATGGGAGATGGAATCTGGGGACCGGAGTGGTGTCAGGGAGGGCTGGGTCCGGGGGACAGAACTGGGGAGTCCCGAGGTGAGGGAAAGGTCTGAGTCGGGCTGGGTCAGGGGCTCCCGAGTCGGGAAGGGGGTCGGGACATGTCGGGGGTCCCCAGCTGGGTTGGGTCAGGGATTCCCGAGTCAGGGCGGGGGTCGGGACACATCGGGGGTCTCCGGCTGGGTTGGGCGGTCCCGGGTCGGGGAGGGAGTCAGGACGTGTAGGGGATCCCGGGCTGGGCTCGCTCAGGGGGTTCCGAGTCGGGGAGGGGGTCGGAACGTGCCGGGGGTCCTGTGCCAGGCTCAGTCGCGGGGTCCTGGGAGGAGCTGGCCAAGGGTCGGTCTGCATGAGGTGTCCCGGGGCCGATCAGGGCTAGATGCAGGGTGTCGGATGCGGGTCCCTGGTCGCCCCCCTCACCTTGATGGAGTAGACGAGCGGGGGGAAGCCGAGGCAGCCCAGCCCGCCCACTGCGCACCACAGCAGCACGTTGAACAGCGACCAGAGCACATAGTCCCGGGGCGGCGGGTCCGCCCGGGGGCCGGGGGGAGCCGACCCCCAGCCGGGGGACTGCAGTGGGATGGACACGTCCGCCTGCCGGGGCTCCATGGCCGGGAATGAGCTCTTGGAACGGGAATGGAGCGCTCCCAGGGCGGGGGATTGACCCCGCACCGCCCAGCGCGGGGGGGGAGGGGGTGCTACACGGCCATCCGGGACCCCCTCCCCGCGTGGGCTGGGGGTGCAGGGCAGCTCTGGGATTCCGGGGGGGCTTAAAGGGACTCGAGAGCCTCGGAGGGGAACCTGGGGGCTTCAGAGGACCCTGTGAGGGTCCAGGGGACCTCAGTGACTCCAATGGCACTTGAGGACTTCCGGGGGGGGGAGGCTTAAAGGGTCTTGGGGGCTCTGAAACGACTTCGAGGAGATTTTGAGGGGTCTCCAAAGGACCTTGGGGACTCTGAGAGCACTTGGGGGAATCCAGGGGAGCTTGGGGACTTTGGGAGGATTCAAAGAGACTTTGGGGACTCCAAGGGAACTCTGGGGGACCTTATGGACTCTGAGGGGACTCAAGGGGATTTTGTGGACTCCGAGTGGAGTCTGTAGGACTTTGAGGTTGGAGTGGACAGACTGGAGGGATCTCTCCACGGCAGCCCGGTATGGTCACAGGCTGGAAGAAGGTTTTGCTGATGGCTGGTTTGGACTGGGAAAGGATTGATTTTTTATATGTTGGCTTGTATGGGGCTGCAGTCTGGGATTGTGCTGGAAGCTGTTGATAAAAACAGGGAGAAGGAGGAAGAGGGGATCTCAGAGCAATGGTCTGTGTTGTCCTAAGTCCCCATGGGATGTGCTGGGATTTGGGCAGGCCAGGGCTGGGGCCGGGCAGGCAGCAGGTCCCTGTTTGCAGCAAGGAGCCCATGTTTTCCGGGAATAAAACAGAGCAAAAAAGTGATTCACCGGGTGCTCATTGCCAGGGATCTTGCAACAAATACCCACTGTGTTTGTGAGTGGGATTTCTGACATCTTACGAATGCAGTGCCTTGGCAGGGGACCAAAGTTCTTGGGGAGAGGGAAAAACAGGGTTTTGTTCCCATCCTTGCAGGGGCCCCAGCCCCGAGGACCAGGGTCTGCCCAGGGCAAGGAGCACGAAGGGGAAGGGGGAAGCCAGGACAGCTGCATAGCTGAAGCTCTGCCAGATGGACCTGGGCCAAGATTTTCTGTGGTCCCCACATGGGTCACTCCGGCCAGCGCCGGGGTAGGACAGAGAGCGGCACATGTGGTGGCCGGAGGCGCGAGGATCGCTGCCCGCTTCCCTGCCCGCTTCCCTGCCAGCTCTCCCAGTGAGGGGATGGGGAGGGCTGGCACTCGCAAGCACAGCTCCCTTCCTACCCCCCTTTTTCCCCCTGCAGGATGTGGCTTCCACTGAGCACGGCTCCCCGCCCCCCCACGCCGCAGGATGGGGAGGGAATGGGGAGGTAACCGTGAGGAAACTGGTGTGCTGAGGTGAAGAGACTTTCACAGCGAAAGCAAAAGCCGTGCATGCCAGCAAGGCACATAATTTGTTCCCCGCTTTCCCATGGCAGCTGTTCCCAGGACGGCTGGGCTCCTGTCTGTAAACCATACCAGTATCCCAGATCACCTCGCTGCAGGTGAGAGCAGTGGAATCCAGCCCCGGGACACCTGCAGCACAGCCATTCGGGATGGAGCCACAGCACCCACCGCCCCCTAACCTCTGGGAGCCTCTCCAGCCCCGCTGTCCCGCACAGTCACATTCCAGTTCATCCCGCTCAAAGCCCTTGGCACATCCCGCCTCCCCTAGTCCAGCTGGTCCTCAGCTCTACTTGCTCCCAGCCCTTCCTGAGGGCCAGTGAGGACGGGGCACAGGTGAGGTTCTCCCCCCACCCTCGGGGTGACCCTCTGGGTGCAGTATCCGGGTTCATGGAGCTGGATGTGTCCTTGAGCATTGTTTCTGTGATGAGAGATAATTTCCCTCCCCACCGCCCAGGCACCTCTAAGGGCCAATGTTGTTTCTCAGCCAGCCACGCTGTGGTGGCAGGGACCTTAAGCCTTTTCCTGCCAACATAAAATCGAGCTGGGGCAAAAGTGAAAGAAATCTTTATTTGAACCAGGTTTTCTCCAAACAAGGTGCTTCTCCTGGGGATTGTTTTGAGTCAGCTGGGGCTTCAAACGCAGAGCAAAGCAGCAAAGAGGTCACAACCCTTTCGGGGGTGCTCAGGAGGGGTGTCCATCCCCAGGCACTTCCAGCGTCAGCAAGGGCTCAAGAACAGTTTTGAGCAAAGAGGAAAGCGGCACAGGACCCCAGTGGGCACCCTCTGGCCCTGAGGGGTGAGGGGAGCTCACTGCCCGTGGAGCAAGGAGTTGCTAAGTGTGGTATTGGTGGTAGTAGTAGGCTTTCACCACCAAGACCACGACGAGGATGACGATCACGGTGACGATGATGTTGAGTACCAGGGCCGTGATGTTCAGGCACTTGGCCGTGGAGCCGTAGCTCAGGGCCCCGCTGTGGTCACCCAGCAGTTTGCGGTCCCTGGACTGTGGGGAGGCAGAGGGGAGACTCAGTGGGGCTGAAGGGGCGGAGGGCTAAAGGCTGTAGGGGGGTGTGAGAGGGGCTGGAGATGCCACTCCTGGACTGAATCCCCCCAAAACACCAGGGGTACTCCAGGACATTGTCGGCCAGGGCTCCATGGAGAGGGGCTCTGTGGGTTCCATGGGGAACCCTCTGGTCTGGAGCTTGTGAGGTCCACTGGACACTCCTGAACTGAAGCTTTGAGAGGTCCATGGCTCTCCCTGGAGCCAGCCATTCTGTGGGCTCAGTGGAGTGGGCTCTGTGGGGTCCCCACGGCTGCCCCCTACCCCCAGCCTCCTCCCCCCGAGTCCCTCACCTTGACAGAGAAGAAGAACGCCAGGAGCCCGAGGCAGAAGATGTTGCCGTACAGGGCAGTGCAGAAGGACCAGACCAGGTGGTCTCGGGGAGGCAGCTGCTCCTCCTCCACCTGCACCGTCGTGCAGGTGCTCCGGGGCATCTCGTCCATGTTCATCCCCTCCGGCAGCATCTCGTAGGGCAGCAGCGACTGCTCCATCCGGGGGCACGTGCACACCGGCAGCGGCACAGGGGAAACCGTGTGGTCGAGGAGGAGGTGGCACTGGGGGAGGGCGGTCTCACAGGAGGCTGTTTCGTTTCCTCGAGCCTGAAGATTTGGCGGTAAAAGGCCGCCCTTCCGGACGTCCTAGTAAGGGTGGGAAGAATCCTGGACGCGTTTTTCTCGTCCCCTTCTTTATCCCTGTTCAATACCTCTTTCCTTGTTCCCTTCTTTGCCCCTTTCCTTACTCCTTTCCCCTCTACTTTCTTTGCCCCTTTCCTTACTCCTTTCCCCTCTACTTTCTTTGCCCCTTCATTTGCCCCCCTCTTTCCTTGTCTCCATCTTTACCTGTTCCTTGCCCCCTTTCTCCCTTACCCTGTTCTTTCTGTCCTCTTCGTTTCCCGTCCCGTTTTTTGCCCCCCTTTCCTTCTGTCCAACCTTTACCCCAATCTTTCCCCTTCTTTCTGTACCCTCTTTGCTCCTCCTCTTTCCTCGTCTCTATTTTGTCCCCGTCCTTGTCCTCTCCCAGATGGCCACCTGGGGACAACTCTGAGCGTTTTGGAGTGTGTGAATAACAGACCCTAAACAGGGTCCCCTCCACACGGCACCGGGCCCCCTCTGACACCCCCAGCCGCCCGCCGCCTCAGTTTGGATTCTTGGGATGCAGCTCCACGGCCCCTGGAGTTTCCCCTCACTGGAATCCCCCTCCCCAGCTGTTGCACCAACATCCTTTATGGTGCGAGAGTGTTTGAACTGTGTTAATGCGCCTGAATCCGCAGGATACGCCATCCTGTAAGGAGGCAATAACATTTTACTGGCAAGTCCGCGAATGTTTGTACTTAAACCAAACAAGGACAGCCCGGTCCTGGAAGCAGGAATTTGGTTTCTGAGAAGCGCAGCCCTGGGCTGCCCTCTAGTTTTCCCAACCGTGAGTATATTTTCCGCTGTAATAACTAATTACAGGGAGGAGGAGCCGCTGCCTCAGTCTGTGGAATGGGAGACGAGGGGGAAAATTCCATTGTTTTCACCGCTGCGCTGCGGAGGGAAGAACCAGCCGGCACATCGGTGCAGTGAGTGGTGGCCGGTCTCAGCTCAACCGAGCGCAGGCGGCTGGGGGGGAACAGGGCTGTGACCCCCGGGGTCTCTGCAGCCCGAGAGGGTGGTCCTGGGGATCCCAACATCCATGAAATCCCTGCACCCAGCGAGGGGGATCGCTACGGTGCGGGCACGCAGTGTAGAGGATCCTGGGGATTCTGCTCCCCGCGGGATCCCCGTACCCATCGAGGGGACCCCAGTGATCCCTGAACCCATCCCCACAGGATTCCCGCACCCAGCGCGGGGGCTGATCCGGGATATCCCCGCACCCCATCCCGTGGGATCCCGCATCCAGCGGCGGACCCCGCACTGGTGAGCGGGAATCGCGCCCTCCTGTGGACGAGGCCGGGCACTGCAGCCCCCGCCGCCAGGGAACGCACCATCCCCGCTGCGGGGGGGAGGGCTCCGGGGGCGGCCCCGCCGAAGCCCCGCGTCATCAATCGCGCAGACCCCTCCGGCCCCGCGGCACGGAGATCCCGTTCGCTTCCGCCTCGCCGCCGCGCAGGGCCGAGGGCAGAGCCGGGAACGGGGCCGGGATACAGGGTCCCGGGGTGCCCGGTCCGCCCCCCCCCCCGCGCGCCCCTCATGGCCCGGCCCGCGGCGCCCCGGGGGGCTGCCGCCGGTTGGCGTGGAGACGCGCGGCGCCTCCGCAGGCCCCGCCCCTGCGGGGCGCCCATTGGCGGCGGGCCCGCGGGGAGGCGCGGCGATTGGCCGGCGGCGCTGTCGCTCGGGCAGCGGGGGCGTGGCCGCGCGGTGCCCCGCTCATTCATTCCCCCCGCGGGCGCGGCGCGGGTGGGGCGATGCACGGCCGCGCTCGGGGCCGCCGAGCCCCGCACCGACCCCCGGCCCCGGCAGCCGCAGCCGCCCCGCGGCTCTCGCGGCCCGCCCGGAGCGCGCGCGCTGGGCGGGCGGGGGGCCCCATGGGCCGGGGTTAGCCCGGCGGCTGCGGCGGCGGGGGCGATGCGGGCGGCAGGATGCCGCGGCTCCCGGTGAAGAAGCTCCGCAAGCAGCTGAAGCTGCTGCTGCTGCTGGCGCTGCTCACCTCGGCCGCCTGGTTCACCTACCTGCACATCAGCCTGGTGCGCCAGGGCCGCGCCCTGCGCCTCCCCTTCGCCTACGGCAGAGGTAACGGGAGGGTCCCCGCGCACCGGGGGGCTCTCGGAGCGGGGCCTCGGGGGGAACTCGGTGGTCCCCATGGGGCGGTGGGTGCCCCCCGCCACACTGGGCTCTCAGAGCACTTTGGGCTTGCAAGTCCCCAAGGGGTGGTGAGAGTCCCCCAGCACACTGAGCTCACGGAGCACTTGGGGTTTTGGGGGCTCTCCCCAAAGGCTGGTGGAATCCCTCGCCACGCCAGGGTCCCAGAGCACCCCCTCAAGACTGGGACGCCCCGTTCCCAGCGCTGGCTTAATGTCCCGCATCGACCCAGTGGGTTTGGGGTGAGCGGGACCCCTCTGTGGGCTCCGAGCCCTGGCATTGCACCTGCGGGAGAAAGGGAGACCCAAGAGAGCCCCCAAACCGGCCGGGGGGTACATTGTCCCCCCTCGAGCGGCTCTGTCCTCATTTTTCTACCCGCTGCCTTGGCTGCGATGACAAAGAGGCCATTTATAGCCGCTCGTCGCTGCTGGAAGGGGTAATCCCTTCCTTCCCAATGTTCCTATCCCTTTCCAACCCTCCCCATCCCATCCCAACACTTTTTCAGCTGGTGCTTCTCTATTGTAGAAAAAAAGAAAAGAATTCCTCCCTCCTCCCGCCCTTGGCCAGCGCCGGGATGGATTCCGGGATGCTCTGCAGGGATGAGCCGGAGGGGCAGGTGCCCCACGGTTCGACTTCGTGCCCGGTTGCTCCCGGTTTTCCCTTCGCAGACTCCCGGGGGCTGCTCGGGAAGCACAAAGCGGCAGGGAATATTTGCTGGGCGAAGCTGGCGCCGTAGTGTTCCTGGGGGACTGACCTCACCTAGCCCGTTTTGTCCCCCCAAAAATGGGAAGGAAACAGGATTTAGTGGCTATTGAGGGAGGAAAAGGCTTTCCCGAGTGGGTCGGAGCGGCCCCCGGGGGCTGTGGAAGCCTCTCGTCTGGAAAACCCAAAGTTTCCGACCGGAGCAGGAGGATGATCCTGCAAATTTTTGGGCCTTTATGTTAAAATCGGGAAATCGGGATAATGCGAGTCAGCGAGGCAGGAAATGAGGCGGCTGAACGTCGCCTTCGAGGGAGGGGGGGCACCGGGGGCTGCCGGGTCTCGGCTCCCCGCGGGGTCCTCCTTGGTGGGGAAGGGACAGAGTGTGCTCCGTGTCCCCGCGGCTGTCCCCGAGGGGTTATCCCGTTATCCCAGCGCCGTGTTCCCAGTGTTATCCTTGCGGCTGTGCCCGAGGGCTTGTCCCTAGGGGCTGCCCTGTGTTCCAGTTGTTATCTCCGAGCCACTGCTCTGTGTTCCCACAGTTATCCAGAGGGGCTGCAGTCCCCAAGCTGCTACTCCGTATCTCTACGGTTATCCCATGTCCCCGCCGTTATTCCAGTGTTTGGAAGGGCCTCGTCTGGCCTCTCTTGGGATCAGCAGCCTCGGGCAGGTGGGGGAAATGGCGTGAGATCGCCATCCCTGTGGATGGCTAGCTGGGAAAACCATGGATCGGGGTCCCTCTGGATGTCAGTGTGCAGCGGTGGGAGGGCGAGCCAAGCTCTTCCCGCAGGGAGGGTGCACAGCAGTGCCGGGGTGTTTGCAGGGGCTGAACCTGGCAGGTGCTTATCCTTGCTCTCCCCACCTCCTACGTGTCCTGCATCCCAGCCAGCCCGCCCCTCGGGATGCTCCCAGGGGAAGCCACAGGGTTTGCTGTGGAAGCGAGGAGGATGCCCAGCTCTGGCTCACAGGGTGCTGGGCTTTGGGGGAGAGCAGGGCCTGTAGGAGGTGGGGAGGTGCCCATAGGATGGGGATGGCACAGGGGGATTGTGGTTTGGGAAATGCCAGGTGCTCCAGCAGTGTTTGCCACGGGCCTGGCGATGGGTCTGGGCTGCCGTGTGCCATGGGGAACACAGGCACCTTCCCTAGCTGGGCTGTGGAGGGGTGGGTGGTTCCCCAGGGAAAGCTGGGCCTTGCCAGGGCTGCACCCACCTGTCCAGGACAGGACTCCAGGGAGATGCAGCTCCCTGCACTGGGATTTTCCAGTGGGCACCTGAAAGCTGTGTGAAGGTGTGGCAAAGCCAGAGTTCAGGTCCCACTGAGCCTCTTTGGACATGAGGTGGTGGAAAGGGGTCGAGCGGAGGCTGGGGAAGGGTTTGGCCATGCACAGAGGGACTCTCATCCTGCTGCTACTGGGGAGGGAGAGCCAGGGAGTGGTTTGGTTAGAAAAATATCCCATGAAGTAAAAAAAAAAAAGGGAAGAATAACAAATATAACTGAGGGGAAAAAAAAGCAGTACTAAAGAGAAAGCTTGGTGCATGGGTTTAGGGGTGAGTTTTGGGGGAGAGCATCACCCCAAAGGTTTGTGCACCAAAAGGAGTTTGGAGATGACTTTTGGATTTGGCCACTGTGAGCCAAGACTTGTCTGTGCCGGGAGTGCTGCCTGGTTAATTACTAAGGAAAAAGGTTAATTACTCATTAAACTGAGCATCAGCGAGCAGCTGGACACGCTGGAGGCTGCAGGTGTGGGGCACGAGGCTTTTAGGTGGCTCTGGGGCGTGTAAAGTGGAGAAGATCCAGCCAAGTGGGGTTGGGAGCACAAGGAAGGCATGGGGGGGGATTATCCCGGGGTTCTCCGTGTCCCCTCAGCTCAGCCGGCGGTGACATGTGGAGCTGGAGCATCCAGGGGCTCAGCTGGGAGCTGTGCTGGTCCCTGTTAAGACACACCCCCCCCTTCCCTGATCTTCTCCAAGTAGATAATTACCCTTCTCTGCCTAATTGAACACACAGATTCCTCATCGGAAATAATGAGGCCATTACGGTGTTCTCCCGGCTGGAAACCGCTCTGAGCCAATGGCGTGGAAACACTGGTGCACCAGGTGGAAAAGGGAGAAAAAGGGATAGGGAAAAAAAAACCAGAAGAAAAGGGAAAAAATTATAAAAAACCCTGAAGTGGCTCTTAGTGGGCATGTGGGGCTGGGATTCAGTGTTGGGGGGGT